GAAAAGAAAAACAGCTGAAGTAGCAATACTCATATCTGAAATAGATTTCAAAATGAAGGCCATCACAAGAGACAACAAAGGTCACTACATAATACTAAATGGATTGATCCAACAAGAGCATATAACCCTGGTAAACATATATGCACCCAATATAGAAGCATCTAAATACATAAAAAAAATTCCTACAGGACGTTGAGGGAGAAATAAACAACAATACAGTCATAGTAGGGGACTTTAACACCACTTGACTTCACTGGACAGATCTTCCAGTTAAAAACTTAACAAGGAAATAGTGACTCTAAAGGACACACTGGATCAGATGGATATAATTGACATTTATAGAACATTCACCCCAAACCTGCAGCATATACATTCTTCTCAAGTGCACATGGATCATTCACAAAAATAGACCACATGTTGGAACAAAAAACAAATCTCTACAAGTTCAAGAAGATTGAAATCATATCAAGCATCTTCTCAGATCACAGTGGAATGAAATTAGAAATCAACTACAGTAAAAACACCCCAAAACATTCAAACACATGGAGGCTAAATAGCATGTTATTAAACAATGAATGGATTACCAATGAGATCAAGAAAGAAATCGAAAACTTCCTGGAAACAAATGAAAATGAACACACAACAACCCCAAATCTCTGGGACACAGCAAAAGCAGTCCTGAGAAGGGAATTCATAGCACTACCGGCCTACCTAAAGAAAAAAACAAAACAAAACAAAAAAAACAAGAAAAATCAACAATAAACTAACCCTACAACTTAAAGAAGTAAAAAGAGAACAACAAGAAAATCCCAGAGTAAGTAAAAGAAAGGAAATAATAAAGTTAGAGCAGAAATAAACGACATAGACACTAAAAAAAAATACAAAAAATCAATGAAACCAAGAGCTTGTTCTTTGAAAGGATAAACAAGATTGTTGAGCCATTAGCCAGACTCATCAAGAAACAAAGAGAGGATCCAAATAAATAAAATCAGAAACAAAAGTGGAGAAGTAACCACTGACACCACAAAATACAAAGGATTTTAAGGAAATATTACAAACAGCTATTTGCCAACAAGTTGGATGAAATGGAAAAATTCCTAGAAAAATATAATCTCCCAAAACTGAATCAGAAAGAATCAGAAAACCTGAATAGGCCAATAACAACTGATGGAATAGAAGCAGTAATAAAAAAAACTCCCAGCAAACAAAAGCCCAGGTCTAGATGGCTTCACAGGGAAGTTTTACCAAACATTCAAAGAAGAACTAACATCTATACTTCTCAAACTATTGCAAAAAATTCAAGAGGAAGGAACATTTCCAAGCCCTTTTTATGAGGCTAGCATTATCCTAATTCCAAAACAAGATAAAGACACTACAAAGAAAGAGAATTACAGGCCAATATTCCTGATGAACATAGATGCTAAAATCCTCAACAAAATATTAGCAAATCAGATCCAGCAATATATTAAAAAGGCCCATACACCATGAGCAAGTGGGATTATTCCAGGAATGCAAGGCTGGTACAATATTTGCAAATCAATACATGTGATACATCATATAAAGAAATTGAAAGACAAAAATCACATGATCATATCAATAGATGCAGAAAAATCATTCCACAAAATTCAACACATATTTTTGATAAAAACTCTCAGCAAAATGTGAATAGAGAAAGCATATCTCTACATGATAAAGGCCATATATTACAAACCTACAATGGATATCATACTCATTGTACAAAAACTAAAACAATATCCCCTAAGAACAGGAACAAAAAAGGGATGTCTTCTTTCACCACTCTTATTCAATACTAGAGGCCTGGTGCACGAAAATTCATGCACTTGGGGTGGGGGGTTATCCCTCAGCCTGGCCTGCTCCCTCTCACAGTCTGTGACCCCTCAGGAGATGTCCACCTGCTAGAGGGACTAAGCTGGCAGTCAGATATTCCTCTGGCAGCCAGGGAGCCCTCGGGGGATGTCTGATTGACGGCTTAAGCCAGAGTTGGACATCATTAGTGCTGTTGTGGAGGTTGGAGAGGCTCCCGCCACTGCCGCTGTGCTCTCAGCACTCAGCCTGGCTTGTGGCTGAGCAGAGCTCCCCCTGTGGGAGCGCACTGATCACCAGGGGGTGCTCCTGCATTGAGCGTCTGCCACCGTGGTGGTCAGTGTGCGTCATAGCAACTGGTTGTTCCCGGTTGTTCTGCCGTTAGGGTCAATTTGCATATTACCCTTTTATTATATAGGATAGTTCTGGAAGTCCTAGCCACAACAATCAGACAAGAAGAAGAAATAAAAGGCATCCAAATTTGAAAGGAGGAAGTAAAGCTCTCACTATTCACAAATGACATGATATTATACATAGACAACCCTGAAGACTCCAACAAAAAACTACTAGATTTAATAAATGAATTTGGCAATGTAGCAGGATACAAAATCAATACCCAAAAATTGATGGCTTTTTTATACACCAATAATGAATTCTCAGAAAGAGAAACTAAACAATTCCATTTACCACTGCAACAACAAAAATTAAGTTACTAAGGAGTATACTTAACCAAGGAGTCAAGAGACCTATACTCGGAAAACTACAGGATGTTGAAAAAAGAGATAGAAGGAGATATAAACAAGTGGAAGATTATAGCATGTTCATGGATTGATAGAATCAACATCATTAAAATGTCCAAACTACCCAAGGCAATCTGCAGATTCAAAGCAATCCCTATTAAAATACCAAAGGCATATTTCACAGATCTAAAACATGCCAAAAATGTTTATGGAATAAAAAAAGACCCAGAATAGCTGCACAATCTTGAGAAAAAAAAGCAAAGTTGGAGGAATCACAATACCATATTTGAAGTTATACTACAAAGCCATCGTAATCAAAACAGCCTGGTTCTGGCACAAGAACAGGCATATAGATCAATGGAACAGAACAGAGACCCCAGAAATCAACCCAAGCCATTACATTCAACATTTGACAAAGGAGGCAAGAGCATACAAGGGAGTCAATAGAGTCTCTTCAATAAATGTTGTTGGGAAAATTAGACAGATATATGCAAAAAAAATGAATCTAGCCTACCAACTCATACCATATACAAGAATAAACTCAGAATGGATAAGAGACTTAAATTTAAGTTGTGAAACCATAAAAATTTCAGAAGAAACCATAGGAAGCAAAATCTCAGACATCTCTCGTAGCAATACTTTTACAGATTTATCTCCTAGGGCAAAGAAAACTAAGGAGAAAATAAACAAATGGGACTATATCAAAATAAAAATTTTCTGCACAGTAAAAGAAACCATCAACAAAATGAAAAGGGAGCCCACTGTATGGAAGAACACATTTGGCAATGATACATCTGATAAAGGGTTAATATCCAAAATATATAAGGAACTCAAACAACATAACTAAAGGGAGACAAACAATCCAATTAAAAAATGGGCAGAGGACCTAAATAGATGCTTCTCCAAAGTGGACATACCGATGGCCAAGAGACTTGTGAAAACATGCTCAGTCACTGATCATCAGAGAGATGCAAATTAAAACGACAATGAAGTATCACCTCACACCTATCAGAATGGCTACCATCAACAAATCAACAAATGACAAGTGCTGGCAAGGATGTGAGGAAAAGGGTACATTGCAGGTGGTAATGCAGACTGATGTAGCCATTATGGAAAACAGTATGGAGGTTCCTCAAAAAATTAAATATGAAACTGCCATTTGATCCAGTGATCCTACATCTATCTATACTAATAATAGAGGAATGTGCAAATTGTCTGGGATGCTGTCACAGTAACAGTAATTATCGAACAGGAGCAGCAGGCTGCATGGGGCGACAAGTCTGACGGGGGGGTTAGTGAGGGACAACCAAACAATTGAACAGCAGGCTGCAGGGGGTGACCAGGAAGCAGGGGGAGGGGAAGTTGGGGGCCACCAGGCCAGCAGGGGGGCCAGTAAAGGGCGACCAGGCTGGTGGGGGGGCGGTTAGGGGCAACCAGGCCAGGGGGGGCAGTTGGGGTTGACCAGGCCGCAGGAGGGGCAGTTAGGGGTGATCAGGCAGGCAGGCAGGTGAGCAGTTATGAGCCAGTGGTCCTGGATTGTGAAAGTGATGTCCGAATACCGGTTGATTGGGCCTAAACCAGCAGTCGGACATCCCCCAAGGGGTCCAGGATTGGAGAGGGTGCAGGCTGGGCTGAGGGGACCCGCCCACCATGCACGAATTTCATGCACTGGTATATCCTAAGAAACCCAAAACACCCATCAGAAAGAATGTATGCACATCTATGTTTATAGCAGCAGAATTTACAATAGCTAAGATCTAGAAACAGCCCAAGAGCATATCAGTAGATGATTGGATAAAAAAAGCCATGGTATATTTATACCAGGAAATACTATGCAGCAGTAAAAAAGAAGAATCTCTTACCCTTTGAGACAGTATGGATGGACCAGGAGAGTATCATGCTAAGTGAAATAAGTCAATCGGAGGAAGACACATATAACACGATCTTACTCATATGTGGAATCTAATTACAAAATAAACTGATGAATGGAGTGTATCAAGAGAAGTGGAAGCATCTAACAGAGTGGGGAATCTCTGAGGGAAGACGGGGGAGGGTTGGTGGGAAGGAAGTAATCAACTAAGGACCTCATAAGCATATATGCATGGCCCATGGACACAGACAAAAGGTTGCACACAAGAGTTGACTGTCACAAGGGAAGACAATGAACTTGCAGTGACAGGTGGCAGAATAGTGTTGACAGACTTCCTCAGGTCTCAGAAATTTCTCTAAGTCAACACGCTCTGCAATGCACAATTGAGGTTCCATTACAGGAGACATATGTTTGTAAACACAATGCTGACTCCCATCAGGGACTAATACTCAATCGAGCTTAAGCTGCAAGGAGAAATTATACTCATCTGTGAAGCTGTGGTGAAAGTGACATAGTCTTATATGAGATTCGTGTCTCTGACCCCGTGCATCCCTCCCTGTCCCCAGAGCCCACGGTGGTGTTTGCCAAGGAGCAGTCGGCACACAGCGAGGTGAAGGCCACGGCCGGGGCCAGTGCCACGCTGAGCTGCGAGGTGGCCCAGGCTCAGACGCAGGTGACGTGGTACAAGGATGGCAAGAAGCTGAGCGGGAGCTCGAAAGTGCGCGTGGAGGCCACGGGCTGCACCCGGCGGCTGGTGCTGCAGCAGGCGGCGAAGGGGGACAGCGGGGAGTACACCTGCGAGGCCGGGGGCCAGAAGGTCACCTTCAACCTAGATGTCCCAGGTCGGTTCTTTGGTGGCACTAACTTAGCCTTGTGTGTAGGTAATGACTACAGCCGGACACACCTGGGGCTCTTTCCACTGGACCTCACCTCTTTAGCCTTCTATCCTCCATCTCCCGTATCATCCCAGTGGTGGGGCCAGACCAGGCTGGGTGGGCAGAGTGTGAGCAGAAGGGAGAGGTCTTCCTGTACAAGCTGAGTGGTGCTCAGGTTTTGCTCAGTCATAGTTCCCAGCACCTGCCAGAGACTTCTGGGTGCCCCTCTCCAGCCGGGACTCGGGCTCTACCTTTCACGTGGAGTCTGAGGTAGACCAGACGTCTCTTACCTGTGTTATGTGCATTTCCTACTCCCCAGGTCCTGGTAGCTCCCAAATGCCCACAGCCAGCAACACGGGCAGAGACACGTTTGAATTTCATTACAACAGAATGTGGGGAAGTTGCTGCCACCCAATCTTACTTGGATCCATCTCAGACTGAACAGTGTGGTAGCAAATTGTAGTTTCTTAGGGCACTCCTTTGCATGTGGATGGAGAAGTTACTGGATCCTCACTTGTCGCAAAATCTAGATCCGTGTTTTCTTGCAAGATCTGTGCAAAAAAGTACACAGAGACCAGAGGATTGGCACGTGTGTGTCGGGGTCCTGTACCTGTGAGGTCTGGAATTCTCCTCCGAAAGTACATCTCGGTTTCTTTTTGAGTCCTGTGTCAGAATCCCCTGGGACTCTGATGTATACCAGATTGGGACATGGAGAGGAATCAGGAGCTTCTCCCGCACTGCATGCCTTGTTGAAGACAAGTAACTATAGAGACAGCCCTTGACTGTTGAGTCACTATTTATGTCATAGTATTTCCTAAGGACACATGTGTATTTGTCCCTGTCCATGGTGTTCACAGAGATGTCTGTGAACTAACTGTATTTTCATTTAGTGAGGAGAGTTTTAACCTCAATTCGACATCCAGGTGCCTCCAACTAACAGTTTGGTGTTACAAGTGTGTACAACAGCTTGTGGGTGTATAGATACAAAAAAAAAATCCACCAAACATTTGTCATTGCTACTTTAGGAGAATATGACAAGGTGTTTTGTAGGAGTAAATCTGTAAAGTTTTGAGAAATTGACCAGATTATTAGAAAACTATATGAAAAGTGGCATACGATTTTGACAGCTCAAATGGTCCTACAACCGTTTCAATAAATGGAACCACAGTAAAAAAAAAAAAAAAAAGGAAAAAAAAGATCTTATAGGTGAAGATGACACCCCAGTGGCTCCACTGGAAAATTATATGAACTATTCCGTAAGGAAAGTATTGCATGTTCATGGAGATCCTTCTAGAGCTAGAGAAGGACACAGAGTCTCTGGTTTATTATGCGGCAACAGCATGGCATCTATCACCAACATCTGATAGGGAGAGTGGAAATAGTGGGCCAATGCATTGTGGAGACCAAGGCCGAAATCTGAAGCTAAGTAGTATCAAAATGAATCGGCAGTGTATTAAGAGGACAATGCACTATAATGAAAGACTCGGCCCGGGTGTGTGAGCACTACAAGGTCAGCAAATCAACATACCTCATGACGTGAGCAGATTGAAACTAAAGTATGAAGCGATCGCCTCATCAATGCAGAGTTGAGTTTGATAACATTTAAAGTCAGAAATGTGGAAGATATCATTTATCAATATCTCTTCATGCCTCAGATTCTTAACCAATTAGAAATAAAACGGGTCATCCTTCTTCTGATAAATGACACTGAAGGAAAACCAGCTAATCACACTAAGTGACACTTGAAAGCTGTGCCTGTGAGATCAGGGACCAGGCAACGGGGCTCACAGTCACCACTGTTGTCAGCAGGAAAGCAGGAAATAAAGTGAGACATACAAAAGTGTGAAAAAACTGAAGTGAAATTCCGATAATATGACTTACACAAAAGATAAATTATTAGACTTGGTGGGAGTGGGGAGAAATATTATGGTGTCCAAAATGCCCATGAACAGACACACCGCAGAAGAGCAAACAGTAAAGACCGAAAACATAGCAAAGGTGCACCATTTTGTGAGTCACCCAAACCATGGAAGAGACAGGCTCAGGAGGCACAGCTCAGTGCCCTAGGTGGCCAGCAGGTGACACAGGGAGTGCGGGTGGGAGGTGGAGCCCAGGAACTGTCCCTCGCTGGGTGGGAATGGTCCCTGCACAACTGGGAAAGACGTGGTCACCTGGGGAGGGTGTGTGCACACCTCGTGGCCTGAAGTCCCTCTGCTGGAGGGTGTGTGCTCCGGAGAAGTCCTTCACGGTGTCTCCAGCGGGGACCGCCCCTGGGCAGTGGTCCATGTGCAGATGAGTGAGCCAGTTGTGCTGAGAAGGTGCTGGGGCTTCTGCGGGTCACACAGAGCCTTGAGAATTTTCACGTCCCTGCTTAGTCCTTCCTTTCCCAGTGCTGTCCTCGTGATTTAGAAAATATCTTTGACCCTGTGCATCCCTCCCTGTCCCCAGAGCCCACGGTGGTGTTTGCCAAGGAGCAGTCGGCACACAGCGAGGTGAAGGCCACGGCCGGGGCCAGTGCCACGCTGAGCTGCGAGGTGGCCCAGGCTCAGACGCAGGTGACGTGGTACAAGGATGGCAAGAAGCTGAGCGGGAGCTCGAAAGTGCGCGTGGAGGCCACGGGCTGCACCCGGCGGCTGGTGCTGCAGCAGGCGGCGAAGGGGGACAGCGGGGAGTACACCTGCGAGGCCGGGGGCCAGAAGGTCACCTTCAACCTAGATGTCCCAGGTCGGTTCTTTGGTGGCACTAACTTAGCCTTGTGTGTAGGTAATGACTACAGCCGGACACACCTGGGGCTCTTTCCACTGGACCTCACCTCTTTAGCCTTCTATCCTCCATCTCCCGTATCATCCCAGTGGTGGGGCCAGACCAGGCTGGGTGGGCAGAGTGTGAGCAGAAGGGAGAGGTCTTCCTGTACAAGCTGAGTGGTGCTCAGGTTTTGCTCAGTCATAGTTCCCAGCACCTGCCAGAGACTTCTGGGTGCCCCTCTCCAGCCGGGACTCGGGCTCTACCTTTCACGTGGAGTCTGAGGTAGACCAGACGTCTCTTACCTGTGTTATGTGCATTTCCTACTCCCCAGGTCCTGGTAGCTCCCAAATGCCCACAGCCAGCAACACGGGCAGAGCATATTTGAATTTCATTACAACAGAATGTGGGGAAGTTGCTGCCACCCAATCTTACTTGGGTCCATCTCAGACTGAACAGGGTGGTAGCAAATTGTAGTTTCTTAGGGCACTCCTTTGCACGTGGATGGAGAAGTTACTGGATCCTCACTTGTTGCAAAATCTAGATCCGTGTTTTCTTGCAAGATCTGTGCAAAAAAGTACACAGAGACCAGAGGATTGGCACGTGTGTGTCGGGGTCCTGTACCTGTGAGGTCTGGAATTCTCCTCCGAAAGTACATCTCGGTTTCTTTTTGAGTCCTGTGTCAGAATCCCCTGGGACTCTGATGTATACCAGATTGGGACATGGAGAGGAATCAGGAGCTTCTCCCGCACTGCATGCCTTGTTGAAGACAAGTAACTATAGAGACAGCCCTTGACTGTTGAGTCACTATTTATGTCATAGTATTTCCTAAGGACACATGTGTATTTGTCCCTGTCCATGGTGTTCACAGAGATGTCTGTGAACTAACTGTATTTTCATTTAGTGAGGAGAGTTTTAACCTCAATTCGACATCCAGGTGCCTCCAACTAACAGTTTGGTGTTACAAGTGTGTACAACAGCTTGTGGGTGTGTATAGATACAAAAAAAAAATCCACCAAACATTTGTCATTGCTAGGTGTTTTGTAGGAGTAAATCTGTAAAGTTTTGAGAAATTGACCAGATTATTAGAAAACTATATGAAAAGTGGCATACGATTTTGACAGCTCAAATGGTCCTACAACCGTTTCAATAAATGGAACCACAGTAAAAAAAAAAAAAAAAAGGAAAAAAAAGATCTTATAGGTGAAGATGACACCCCAGTGGCTCCACTGGAAAATTATATGAACTATTCCATAAGGAAAGTATTGCATGTTCATGGAGATCCTTCTAGAGCTAGAGAAGGACACAGAGTCTCTGGTTTATTATGCGGCAACAGCATGGCATCTATCACCAACATCTGATAGGGAGAGTGGAAATAGTGGGCCAATGCATTGTGGAGACCAAGGCCGAAATCTGAAGCTAAGTAGTATCAAAATGAATCGGCAGTGTATTAAGAGGACGATGCACTATAATGAAAGACACGGCCCGGGTGTGTGAGCACTACAGAGGTCAGCAAATCAACATACCTCATGACTTGAGCAGATTGAAACTAAAGTATGAAGCGATCGCCTCATCAATGCAGAGTTGAGTTTGATAACATTTAAAGTCAGAAATGTGGAAGAAATCGTTTATCAATATCTCTTCATGCCTCAAATTCTTAACAATTAGAAATAAAACGGGTCATCCTTCTTCTGATAAATGACACTGAAGGAAAACCAGCTAATCACACTAAGTGACCCTTGAAAGCTGTGCCTGTGAGATCAGGGACCAGGCAACGGGGCTCACAGTCACCACTGTTGTCAGCAGGAAAGCAGGAAATAAAGTGCGACATACAAAAGTGTGAAAAAACTGAAGTGAAATTCCGATAATATGACTTACGCAAAAGATAAATTATTAGACTTGGTGGGAGTGGGGAGAAATATTATGGTGTCCAAAATGCCCATGAACAGACACACCGCAGAAGAGCAAACAGTAAAGACCGAAAACATAGCAAAGGTGCACCATTTTGTGAGTCACCCAAACCATGGAAGAGACAGGCTCAGGAGGCACAGCTCAGTGCCCTAGGTGGCCAGCAGGTGACACAGGGAGTGCGGGTGGGAGGTGGAGCCCAGGAACTGTCCCTCGCTGGGTGGGAATGGTCCCTGCACAACCGGGAAAGACGTGGTCACCTGGGGAGGGTGTGTGCACACCTCGTGGCCTGAAGTCCCTCTGCTGGAGGGTGTGTGCTCCGGAGAAGTCCTTCACGGTGTCTCCAGCGGGGACCGCCCCTGGGCAGTGGTCCATGTGCAGATGAGTGAGCCAGTTGTGCTGAGAAGGTGCTGGGGCTTCTGCGGGTCACACAGAGCCTTGAGAATTTTCACGTCCCTGCTTAGTCCTTCCTTTCCCAGTGCTGTCCTCGTGATTTAGAAAATATCTTTGACCCTGTGCATCCCTCCCTGTCCCCAGAGCCCACGGTGGTGTTTGCCAAGGAGCAGTCGGCACACAGCGAGGTGAAGGCCACGGCCGGGGCCAGTGCCACGCTGAGCTGCGAGGTGGCCCAGGCTCAGACGCAGGTGACGTGGTACAAGGATGGCAAGAAGCTGAGCGGGAGCTCGAAAGTGCGCGTGGAGGCCACGGGCTGCACCCGGCGGCTGGTGCTGCAGCAGGCGGCGAAGGGGGACAGCGGGGAGTACACCTGCGAGGCCGGGGGCCAGAAGGTCACCTTCAGCCTAGATGTCCCAGGTGGGTACCTGTCTGGGCAGAGAGGACAAGTCCCTGAGGCATCAAGTGATAGGCATTGTCTTGACAGGCTATGCAAGGCTGTCGTTGTGGTTGCAGCAGTGTTGGTTTCTATGGACATGCCCTGCCTCAGGCCTCTTCCTCTTTGAGCTCTTGTGACTGAGGACCTAGGCTAAGACCGTAGTTCTAGGCATTGTGGACCTGTTTTATCCAGATTTTTGCTCCTTGTTTCCACATCCTCACCTTCCCCAGAATGGAACCTTTCATGGAGGCTTCTACAGGCTGTTAATGGTTGAGGCCTGTAGAAATGCCCATTCTCTGTCTGGGCCTGGAGCACACAGTTTTCTGTTTTAAGTCTCCCCTTGCAGGTATTGAGTCCATCCTTGCTCTGTTGAACCTCACCAGAGGGGCTCTGGCTTTGGATGCCTTTTTCCTCAGTGGAGTTTGGGTCCCTATCTCTGGCCTTGGGTTCCTGACTGTCCTGCAATTGTTAAGTCAGCCGGGGGACCTGACCTCTGCTGGGGCACATCCAGGGCTGGCACTGGTCCTGCTGGTGTGCTGCCTGTCCCTTATAGCCCCCAGCTGATGACAGCACCTCTGGGTTTCCGAGTCCTGCTGTAGGTGTTGGTTTTGAGCTGGCGGACATGGCCCCATCCCCTTGCCGACCTGCCCCCCATGGTACAGCCGCCCTGTGTTCAGGTGATCCCCTGGATGGGCTCTTACAGGGACCCTCTTGGGCCCCTTCTGGGGCTTTCCCCCTCCCCCTTTGGTGCTGCTGTGCACTCCCCCCACATGCTGAGGCACTCAGGGTGTTACAGCCTCTCAGCCTCTGTCCTGGGCCCAGGCTTCCCTGGAGGGCAGGCATCGAAACCTCTAGGCTCTTGGTCAGACAGAGCTTGTGGCTCCAGGCCTGCGGTCCCCTGCAGCTGACTCCTCTTGGCCACTCTTCATGGCCCCCGAGAGCCTGGATGGTGGCCATCAGGGGGTGTGGCGCTCTGAGGCTTTCCCTCTCGGGCTTGCTCAGTGGAAGCAGCAGCCAAGGACTGGGTGAGCAAGGCGTTGCATCGCAGTTGGAGCTTGGGCCAGTCCCACTTTAGGTCTTCTCCCATAGTATGGCCCGAAGCAGGCAGGGACCAGGCCAGGGAAGCAGGGTCCCCACTTTCTTGATGACTAACCCTCCTGCTCCTTCCCCCTGCACCCCAGAGCCAGAGCCTGAGTCCCCAGCCCTGGAGAGACCCGACCGCAGGGGGCTTCTGGTGGTCAAAGAACACGAGGACATCGTCCTGACTGCCACGCTGGCCGCACCCTCTGTGGCTGCGGTGACATGGCTCAAGGACGGCGTGGAGATTCGCCGCAGCAAGCGGCACCAGACGACCAGCCTGGGGGACACGCACACCCTGACGGTGCGCGGTGCGCAGACCCTGGACAGCGCGGTGTACAGCTGCTGCGTAGGCGCCGAGGCGCAGGACTTCCCGGTGCAGGTGGAAGGTCAGCGGTCAGCGCAGTCCTCTGCGAACCCCGCGCCTGCTGGGTCTCACTGAGGGCGGGCAGCAGTGTCTTGTCCGGGAGTGGGTACGGGTGGGGCTCAGGGCGCACGACCCCAAAGCAAAGCACAGAGCGGGTCTCCAGGGCCCGAGCCCCTCCGGGCTGACGTCCTTCCCCTCCGCAGAGGTGGCCGCCAGGTTCTGCCAGCCCCTGGAGCCCGTGAGCGGGGAGCTGGGCGGCACGGTGACGCTGGCCTGCGAGCTGAGCCCGGCGCAGGCCGAGGTGGTGTGGCGCTGTGGGAGCACGCAGCTGCGGGCGGGCAAGCGCTTCCAGATGGCGGCCGAGGGGCTCCGGCGCTCCCTCACCGTGTCGGGCCTGCGGGCGGAGGATGCGGGCGAGTACGTGTGCGAGAGCCGCGACGACCGCACCAGCGCCCGGCTCTCGGTCCGCGGTACGCTCCACAGCGCGCTGGCGGGGCGCGGGGCGCGGGGCGCGGGGCGGGAGGCGGGGCGTTCCCCGTGGCTTCGCGGAGAAGGTGCTCTTCCGTGGCGTCTGCAAGTGGGGCCTCGCTCCTCCTACCAACCTCTCAAGCGGACCTCCTGTCCACAGTCCCCCGCGAAGTCAAGTTCACGTCTGGGCTGAGCGCCATGGTCGCGGAGGAGGGCCAGGAGGCCACCTTCCAGTGCGTGGTGACCCCCAGCGACGCGGCGGTCCTGTGGTTCCGGGACGGTACCCAGCTGCAGCCCAGCGAGAAGTTTCGCATGTCGCAGAGCGGCGCCAGCCACAGCCTGACCATCTCGGGTCTGGTCCTGGAGGACGCCGGCCAGATCACCGCGGAGGCTGAGGGGGTCACATCCTCGGCTGCCCTCCGCGTCCGAGGTGCGGGGCCGGGGGTGGCGGGAGTGTGGGCCCCTCACGGGTGGGCTGCCATCGTGCTGCTCGCAGGTGCCCGCTCCTCTGGCTGATCTCAGGGAACACAGGGTTTGCTGGTTGCAGAGAGAAGACCGGGGTGGGACGGAAGGGCTGGGCACCTCCGCTGAAGGAGTAAACTGCTGCACTGTGCCCCTGGTCTGAGAACGGATCCGCACCGAGCCCCATAGGTGGCGAGATGGGAGGGAGTGGGGTTGGCAGCCAGTGCAAGCAGAGGCAGGAGGGGAGGACGCATTTTGCTCGATGAAGCCAGATTGTCGGTGAGAGCCAGCCTTCACCTGAGGATAAGTGGGAGCCATCACAGGTCTTGAGTAAGAGTAATGTGGGCAGACTCACTTTCTGGGGAGGTCATGGTACAGTGTGGGACTTCAGCATGTTTCTCTCCCTTAACGTTCGGGCTCCCAGGGCTCCAGTGGAGTGGAGATGCTAATTCGACTGGTCTGGGGGCTCAGAGCCCACCTGTCTCACCAGCTCCGTGTCCTGAGGCTACTGGTCACCACACGTAGGAGCTCCAGGCACTGGTGCCTGGCAGGGCTGTTCAGAGCAGGGGAGCAGAGGTGGGAGCGGGCTGGGAAAGGAGAGGCCTCCTTAGTCTCCATTTCCTCCCATTAAAGTATACCTGTGCAGGTGTGCAGCTGGGCCCTGAGTATTGCTAAAGCCTTGCCTGGCTTGGAGGCAGAATGTGGTAGGGGTCCCTACTCTGCCGGCTGGGGGCTGGGTTGGACAGGGGCCCTCTGAGCCTCGTGTTCCTGAGTGGCAGTGGCTGTGTGATTGCCCTTTCCCTGACCCCAGAGGCTCCTGTGCTGTTCAAGAAGAAGCTGGAGCCACAGACAGTGGAGGAGTGGGGTTCAGTGACCCTGGCGGTAGAGCTGACCAGGCCTTGGCCAGATGTCAAGTGGACACGCAATGCCATGGCCATATCCCCAAGCGAGAATGTGGCAATCTACACGGAGGGCGCAAGTCACCGCTTGGTCCTCCGCAGTGTGGGTTTTGCTGACCGTGGCTTCTATGGCTGTGAGACGCCAGATGACAAGACACAGGCCAAGCTCACAGTAACAAGTGAGCTACAGGGCAGCTGGGTCTGGGGTCTGGCACCCAGGAGAGGGGAGGGAGGGGGGAAGGGATGGAGAGGAATGAGCTTCCCACTGGGGACCTGGCCTTGGGAAGGGGATGGGAAGGGAGGGTTATCAGGGGGAGAGCTCGTATGGCTGGGGATGAAGTGGGCCTCCCAGGTAGGGCAATTATCCTCCTGTGGGTGTGGGCCTCCCCCTCTAGGGCAACACGCTGAGCTGAGGCCCCTGGGAAGGACAGAGGGAGGGCCAGGGTCTCGGTGCAGTGGCACACCCTTCCCTCCTTTGCTCCGCAGTGCGCCAGGTCCAGCTCCTGCGGGGCCTGCAGGTCGTGGAGGTGCAAGAGCAGGGCTCCACCACCATGGAGGTGGAGCTGTCCCATGCCAACGTAGAGGGCAGCTGGACACGTGATGGCCTTCGGCTACAGCCAGGGCCCACGTGCCAACTGGCAGTTCAAGGCCCCATTCACACCCTCACGCTGTCTGAGCTGCGGCCACAGGATGGTGGTCTCATTGCCTTCAAGGCTGAGGGCGTGCACACATCCGCGCGGCTGGTGGTAACTGGTGCGTGGGGGGTGGAGTGAGACTCACTCGAGACTGCATGGTCCCTGTCTTGAAGGGGAGGCAGGTGGGGACAGGGGTGTGGAATCCCGGAGGGGGGGGCATTCATTCCTAGAACCAGCTGAGTGATTTGGTCCATCTCAGCCCCCCTCCCCCATTCCACCTGCCTCTCTCATCTCCTTCTGCCTCCCCAGAGCTGCCTGTGAGGTTCAGCCGCCCACTGCAGGACATGGTGGCCACAGAGAAAGACAAAGTGACCCTGGAGTGTGAGCTGTCACGCCCCAATGTGGCCGTGCGCTGGCTGAAGGTGCCTCTGTCCCTGGACTCTTCTGCTCCATCCTACTCCTCACCATGAGGGGCATCCCCAGCACCTGACCTGATTTTGTACCCCCACAGGATGGCGTGGAGCTTCAGGTTGGCAAGACAGTGGGTATGGCAGCCAAGGGCACCTGCCGGACTCTCATCATTTACCAGTGTGCCTTTGGGGACCAGGGCGTGTATGTGTGTGATGCCCATGGGGCTCAGACCTCGGCATCCCTGAAGGTGCAAGGTGAGGACTGGGCAGAGTGGGAGGTCAGGACCAAGTGCAGGATCTCCTTACCCCCTGTCACTCCCATTGAGGTGCTTGGCCCTCTGACCCCAACCCTCTGGTACTCAGCAAGCTGTGGATGGGGGAGGGGCAGGCAGCTCTGTGCTTCAGTGTGGCAGGGCCTCCCTCGCTGCCCCAGGACGCAACATCCAGATCCTCAGACCCCTGGAGGACGTGGAGGTGATGGAGAAGGAGAGCGCCACTTTCTCCTGTGAGGTCTCCCATGATGACGTGTCTGCTCAGTGGTTCCGGGAGGGCAGTAAGCTTCGGTCCAGTGACAACGTGCGCATCCGCCAGGAAGGTGTGACAATTACGGCAGTGGCTGCGGGAGGGCCTCTCCCCATCCTCCGTGCACCTCCCTCAGTGCTGAGTGGTCTGTGTTCCCAGGAAGGACATACACGCTCATCTACCGGAGGGTCCTGGTGGAAGAAGCAGGAGAAATCCGATTTGTAGCTGAAAATGCAGAATCTCGAGCCCAGCTCCGAGTGAGAGGTGAGGGGGACTCAAGGGAGGATGTGGGCTGGACACCAAGTGAGAACATAGATGGGTGCTGTGCCAGCTGTCCCGACACAGGCCTGCGGCGCTCCAGCCCCTCCCAGGACAGGACAGGGGTAACCCAGGTGGAGGCAAAGAGGGTGTTGCCTCCACTGCAGGAAGGCAGGGGTCTGAGGAGGCAGCCCTTCTTGTTTAAAAATGGAGATATCAGTGAGTTCTTCCTCCTGGGACTGCAGCAGGTGCTGGAGAGTGAGGCCCTGGTGGCCTTGATGACAGGAGAGGGTGGCGACCAGGCCTGAGGGAGGGAGGGATAGTCTGTGGACAGGTAAGGTGATCACACGGGGTGTTGATACACAGGAGAGGACAAGGGGGGCGGCATGAGGGGCAGGGCAAGAGGTGGAAAGGGTGGAAGGTAGGTGTGGGTGCACCTACTTTCTTCAGGGTCAATTGTACAGAAGGGGTCAGACCTGAGGGTGACACCCGCTTTAGCCTGGCTGGTTGGGAGCACCCACCTGACTCTTCCCTGCTCACCCACAGAGCTGCCAGTGTCCATTCTGCGCCCCCTGCGGGACAAGATTGCCATGGAGAAGCATCGCGGGGTACTTGAGTGCCAGGTGTCTCGGGCCAGTGCCCAGGTGCGGTGGTTCAAGGGAGGCGTGGAACTGCGGACTGGGCCCAAGTACGAGATGGTCAGCGATGGCCTCTACCGCAAGCTGGTCATCAGTGATGTGCAGCCTGAGGATGAGGACACTTACACATGCGATGCTGGCGATGTGAAGACCTCTGCCCAGTTCTTTGTGGAAGGTGTGGGCAGGGCTGTAGGCAGCTGTCCTCTGTGCCTGGGGATGGGCTGCGGCCTCTATCATTGGCCCTGATACTTGGAGGCAGCCAGGTCTAAGAAGGGCCTGACTGGGGGGCATCGGGGCAGGGGGAGGGGGGGAGGATGTGAGCACGTGTGTTTGGTGGGAGGGTTTGTTCCCAGGAAGGAACACAGATGGGGGCGGTCCTCCTGCAGACACAGTGATGCCTCTCGCCCACAGAGCAATCCATCACCATCGTGCGGGGCCTGCAGGACGTGACGGTGATGGAGCCCGCCCCCGCCTGGTTCGAGTGTGAGACCTCCATTCCCTCTGTTCGGCCGCCCAAGTGGCTGCTGGGGAAGACGCCGTTGCAGGCCGGGAAGGACGTGGGCGTGGAGCAGGAAGGCACAGTGCACCGGCTGACGCTGCGGCGCACCTGCTCCACCATGACCGGGCCAGTGCACTTCACCATCGGCAAGTCGCGCACCACCGCCCAGCTGGTTGTCTCAGGTGGGTGCGCAGCCCCCGGGCGAAGGAGGGGTCCTTAGCGGATGGCATGGCAGTGCCCGGAGCTCCTCTGGCCCGGCCCACCCGCAGCGCTGCGCTCTCTCCTCCCGTGCAGACATCCCTGTGGTGCTTACAAGGCCGCTGGAGCCTAAGGTGGGCCGTGAACTGCAGTCAGTGGTCCTGTCCTGCGACTTCAAGCCGCCCCCCAAGGCTGTGCAGTGGTACAAGGAGGACACACCCTTGGCGCCCTCGGACAAATTCAGAATGCGCCTGGAGGGCCACATGGCTGAGCTGAGAGTGCTGAGGCTCACGCCTGCTGACGCGGGCGTCTACCGGTGCCAGGCTGGCGGTGCCCAGACCTGTGCCCAGGTCACCGTGGAAGGTGTGCGGCGGGGGTGTAGGGCCGCCCGGAGGGGCCCAGGGGCGGTGGTGCCGGACGCTAAGCCTCCATGTGCTCTTGGCAGCTCGGGAGGTGACCGTGACGAGGCCGCTGCAGGACGCGGAGGCCACGGAGGAGGG